TACAACTGTGTAGGTTGGAAAAGCCCCCTGGGATCATCGAGTCTAACCACTAACCCAGCTCTGCCAAGCTCACCCCTAAACCATCTCCCCCAGCCCCACATCTCAACAACCTTTAAACACCTCCAGGGGTGGGGACTCCATCTCCTCCCTGGGCAGCCTCTGCCAAGCTTTGACTGCTCTTGCTGGGAAAATTTTTTCCTAATTTCCAGTCTAATCTTCTCCTGTTGCCGTTTGAAGCCATTCCCTCTTTTTCTATCACTAATTACCCATGAGAAGAGACCAGCACCAACCTGGGTGGTGTGGGGGGGCCCGGGCCCCGCCCTCCCCCCCCCCAGCCTGTCCCACACTGGGTTGCAGAGCGAGGAAAAGACCGCACAGCAACCGCGTCAGGCCGGAGCGTGTCATTTCGGAGCTGACCGGGATGGTGCAGCTTCATCCTTCTGCCTGTCACCCAAAGGGAAACACAAAGCCAAGATGAGCAGGGAGTGGGACAAGGGAGAAAGCAGCGCAAGGCCCAGCCCGCAGCCTGATCGCACTGATCAGGAAACCAGCTCGTGGCCCTGAGGTGCGGCAACGAGTAGCAAGGAAGCAGCACAAGGGCCAGCTCGAAGACCTGAGCAAACTGGATGCGACAGAGTACAAGGCTTGTGAGAGCTGCAAGGAGATCTGAGGGCTGGAGAGTGAAAGGAATCCAGCACTCTCATCGAGGGACGGGAGAAAACGAAGGGAAGAACGGAGATCCAGCAAACTTTCAGCTAAGTAGATTATTGATCTTCAGGGCGTGCCAGAAACCAGCTTTGCAAATTACAGCAGTCCCCTGCTGCAAGCTCAGGCACTTAGCGGATGGCAAAGCAGAAACGCTCCCCGGCTCCCCGCTCCCACCACGCACACGCCTTCCTCCGCCACTGCTGCGATGCCACCGAGCTCCTGTTTGCATCTCGCTGCGGCAGGACGCGCAAAACACGTCCACGGGGTGACAACGTGCAAAGAAACGTCGCGCTGCTCCGGCACCTAACGGGAGAGACGGTGCTAGCAGGGAAGAAACAGCTCGGAGAAAGTCTGTTGTCTTCTGCTGTTGAGAGGGAGCAGAAGGCAGAAACCTCAGCCCAACGCGAGCGGGGAAGGCGGTGACCTCGCGAGGCTCCGTACAGCTAAGCAAATAATTTCTTTGGCAAAGGCAGGCGCTCTTTCCGCTCGCCGTCAGGGTTTCTGCACAGCGGAGCTGAGGTGTGAACGCCTCGCAGATTGCCCTGACAACGCGCCGAACCCTCCTGCACCAAGATCACCTGCTCGCCTGAGCCGAGAGGCTGGTGAGAAGAGACAGCTCGGAGCCCAGCTCCTACCAGCGTGCTCCACCAAATCTACCCCATCGGGCCCCTCGGAGCTGCTGGGAACCGCTGCCCCACAGCCTGGCTGCCAGGACCAGCAGTTTTGTTATGATCTGTGCAGCAGCACAGATGTGCCCATGTTTTGGGTGTACAGAGAGAGGTCCCTGCCCTGAAAGTCATGCAACCGAAGCAGAGGTGTTTATTTCCAGCAACCCGTTACACGGCATTGGGTGATTTTTTCACAGCATCAATGCCAAAGCAGAGAAAAATACCTGGCGTGGGGATGGGGCTGAGGATGCTCATATCAAATCCGGGCAGAGTGGGAGCTGTGAGGGCCAGGTGGCTCTGCCACCAGCCCCACCACCACAGCCCTTCAACCAGGGCCCCTCTGCCTTCGCCAGGTTGACGCCACATACGTCCGAGCCCTCAGCAAACACGCGAAAAGCCTCAGAGCGCTCCTGCAAGGGAGGTGAGGAAGCATTTGTTGATCCCTTCTGATAAGAGGCAAAGAAAGGGCCACACCAGGGTTGTCTGTTGGTGACACCAATTGGGTCTTCTCACCCCGGGGACAGCCCCTGCGCCGTGGAGGAGCTGATTTTAAATAAAGCCAAGCCTTCCTCTGACTGGCGGAGCATGATGAGCACTCGGACTGTCAGATCCTCCTCGTTTTAAATAAATTCCACTGACGTACTCTCTTCTGACATAAATTATTAATCAAGCGTGCTGCGCATGGGGTGCCACCAGCGGCATCTCAGGGCGGGAGCAGGCAGCAGGTGAGGCTTTCTGCCTGCGAGTTGTGACTCGGTTAAATTCCACTGTTGCCGGGAGAAGGGATGTGCCACCACGGCTGCCACCTGCCTGCCAGCGTGGCCACGCCATGGAAAAAATCACACTCCACACCCAGGCCATACAAAACCCAACCTCCTGGCATCTCCAGGTGTCTGTCTGTGCCAAGACACGCTGAGAGCAGGGTCCGGTTTTCCCATCTTGCTTCTGGAAGTGCCAGTGACAGGGACAGCCAGCTCCACTCTCCTCCTGGAAATGCTGTGGATGTCCTGGAGGTACCCAGTCACCCACCTAGGGTGACCCAAAGCAAGCGGGACCATTTCTCTCCTTTCAGCCTGAAGAAACTCCCAGTTAAGTTGAGACAAGGTGGGTGAGATGGGAACAGCCTTTCAGAGAGGGAAGAACCCATCAGGCAACCTCCAGAGGCAAATTCTACCACCTCCCTGGCTGATCTCTTGAGAATTCACCAGAACATTAAAAAAAACCAAAACAAACCAACCCAAGGGAGAGGCTGATGGAAAGCCAGCCATCAGCAAGGGGTGTGGGGCCAACAGCAGTGCTGGTGGGAGCTCCTGGGAGCACCAGGAGGCATCAGGATGGATCTCAGCTGCCCGTGCTAGGGGAGGAAGGGTATATGTGAGAAACAGCTGGGATAAAAGGGCAACTCCTCTGCCTCAAATATAAACTCAAGCAGCCTGAAGCCAGAGGAAAGAGAAGAGTTACATGAGTCTCAGCTCTCTGAAGCCCTGGGGAGCAGTGGGCTTCTAGCACCAGACACAGGTCATCTGGGCTTCCCTTTTTCTCAGTACGATCAGAAGAAAGGAGAAGGTGTATTAGGCAGAAAAAACCCCACATTACGTATTTTTTCCTCTCATAATTCAGAAGAACAACGTCCACATTTCATCCTGGAAGTAGCAGCACTTTGGGGATTCTCATGTCTGAGACCTAATTTGTAAAGCGCCTGGGGATCCCTCGGGGTAAAAAAAAAAAAAAAATCATTACAGGATCATTACTAAAATGGACACGTTATATTTCATGTCTTGGTTCCACACAAGTGGAAGAAATAAAAAGCCAGAATCTTACTCCAGGATGAGGGGACAAAACCATGCAGCACAGCACTGATCCAGTGAAGTGACCAAAACAGGACGTGGCTTCCTACATGTCAGGTGTGGACCCTCCAGCTTTGCCCGCTGCCCAGTCACGTCACAGCAGTGACACAAAGAGCAACAAACACGGGGTTTTTTTAATAAAAGCCACAACCCCTGGCCAGAAGGGTCCCTTTCAGCTCTCTCCTGGGCTCATTTTGCTCATCTGGGGTGGGATCCTGCGCTCCGTTATGGCATCAAGACACAGCCTAACCACAACACGGGGCTGCCGGCACAGATAATCTAGAGGGGAAAAAAAAAAAAAAGGCTTTCTGGAGCCTTTCACCAGTACTTACACCAGCAGTGTTCCTGGTACACCCTGCCACAGACTGGGAAGCTCCTTTTGAACCCTAGGCATGCACACAGCTAGGTGAAAAGTTGTCTCCCCAGAGCGAAGCCAAATATTTCAGGTTGAATCTCGTGCCTGCCTGTCTCCCACCCACACAGCGCAGACGACTGCTGGCGTAATTTCTCTTGCACATGCGAGCCCGTACATCACCTGGCTCACGATCTGCCAGAGCCAACGTGATCTGCACCCACAGGGAGGGTGCAAAGGAGACGTGGTGGGAACGCAGACCCTGTGGGGAGAGGCAGAAGGATGCCCTTGACCTTGGACTGAGGCAGAAGGTTGCCCTTGACCTTGGGCTGGGGGCTGCTTCTACAGCACCCCAGCATGGGGGCAGCTAACAGGCCCAACGGCTTCACCATCAAAGGGTATCCAACTCCTGAGATACCAGAACTGCTGGTGCAGACGTCGCTCAGCAGCTGGAGCTCAGCACAGAGCTGGACTTTCATGGAAACCCGACGGGTTTCCCCCTCTGCCGTTTCAAAATGAGCACAAGCCTCAGGGCCACCAGGTGTTCTTCTCTCTCAGATGTTTGAGTACACAGTACGCCCAACTCTCGTGCAGTCCATGAAGCACCATGGCTGCAGCAACCCACAAAAAGAACGCAACACACAGAAAACTCTAAGTAGCGTCACCGAGTTCTTGGAAATGTGTCAGCAGTGTGCCCAGGTGGCCAAGAAGGCCAAGGGCATCCTGGCCTGGATCAGAAACGGTGTGACCAGCAGGAGGAGGGAGGTGATCATGCCCCTGTACTCGGCACTCGTGAGACCGCACCTCGAGTACTGTGTCCAGTTTTGGTCACCACAGTACAAGAAGGACATGGAGGTGCTGGAGCGGGTGCAGAGAAGGGCAACAAGGCTTGTGAGAGGTCTGGAAAACGTGACCTATGAAGAGCGGCTGAGGGAACTGGGTTTGTTTAGTCTGGAGAAGAGGAGACTGAGAGGAGACCTTATTGCCCTCTACAACTACCTAAAAGGAGGCTGGAGTGAGGCTGGTGCTGGTCTCTTCTCTCTAATTACTAATGACAGGACAAGGGGAAATGGCCTCAAGTTGTGTCAGGGTAAGTTTAGATTGGATATTCAGAGGAAGTTCTTTCCTGAACGAGTGGTGAGGCACTGGAACAGGCTGCCCAGGGAGGTGGTGGAGTCACCAACCCTGGAGGTGTTTAAAAAAAAAAGGTAGATCTGGCACTTGAGGCTGTGGTGTAGTGGTTGGGTGTGCTGGGATGAAGGTTGGACTGGATGATCTTCAGAGGTCCCTTCCAACCCCTAACGTTCTGTGATTCTGTGAAATAACAGCAGGGCAAGCCTCGGTCCTTGGGGCTTTAAAGTGCTGGGGAGGTGAGAACTTCTCAGGAGACAAAGCAAAGCAGTGGAGAACACGGCTGAGCACTACCTGCGTGTTGTTCTCATCTCCCTGAGCATGGACAGTGTAGGAACGACGACCATTCTTCACGGACTCAGTGGCGATGCGCACTTCCACTCCCGGAAGCGGGGTGCCCACCGAACCTGCGAAGGAAAACAAGGCTGAAACAGTGGACAGCCTCCGGGAGGCCACAAAAATCGAGGACGCAAAAGAGCAGCTGCTCGCCTATCAACGGCATCCGCAGACTGTGCTGGCATTAAAGAACTTCCTAGCAGGGGGTTACCCCTCAGGAAGGCTTCGATCACATCGTATGTCGGCATGCAAATGTCGCCGCGGTGCAACACACCGTTGTTCGCTGAGCTGGCAGCACTGGAAATGCCCAGGGAAACAAATGTGTCTCCAGCCCCAAAGTGTCTCTTTCGGCCAGGCTTTGAAGGCATAAGCACAGCTTCACAGCTCAGTAATGAAGCTGTCTTTTCAGGGAGAGAAAAAAAAAAAGCACAATGAAACCGACACAAAGATGTGAAAAGAAAGAGCACGATGATGACTACAGTGGCTCACTGCTTCTCTATAGCCCGGACCTGACAGAGAAGGCAAAGGCTTAAGAGAGTGAGAATTGCAAGGGATTATCTCAGTTTTACGAGACATCAATATGCTGTATATAAAAACATCACAGGAAAAAAGCAGAGATCAAAACCACGCCGTCCTTCCACGGGTTTCAATTTTCAAAGCCAGGGAATCTGACACAGTGTCACCAACAACTGTTGTTAAGCTCCAAGATGGTTTTGAGACCCCGAGCTCCCCGACCTGCAGCCCGCACCATTCCCACCCCCCGGTTTAGTGGCTGCTCTTCTTGGGGAGCATCTGAACGGAGGGAAGAAAGGGCAGCTTTGCTCCTGCGACCACCATGTGATGAGGGGCTCCAGGCTCAGCAGCAAGCGGGCGTCATGGGCATCTGCTGGCTCAGCAGGTTTTGCTCCGCATCTCAACGGAATGAGATGGCTCTCATCTCAAGATGATGCCCGTGACTTTCATCCCCTGCGAGTGGGAAAGAGGGATGGCAGCACAGAGCAACCTAGACAGGTCTGAGCTTAAATCAGTAAGCGTACTCTTATTTTTAAGAGGTGATCAATTTTTTCCCCTGGAGAGCCTCCAGCTGGTGATGCTTTCTAGCTCTGCGAGGATCAGCTCGACACAGGTCAAATCCTTAGAGCAGCACCTGGAGCTCAGCACTGTCTTCCCCTTGTCGTCTGTATTTCAGGCATTTAGGTTCAAGTGGCATTTTCCCTACCCTGGTTTCCTTCTCCTGTCCAAGCCCTGGAGATCCGGTATCTCTGACATCATGATTTTATTTGCTACACTGGTCAGTTGCCATGGAAATAGATATGTCATTGTAGCCCAGATTTATGGCATCCCTGCAGGATCAGCTAAGAGCAGATGGGCTACGAGGGAGTGAGATTTTTATTGCAGCGAAACTACCCGAACAATTAGCAAATCTGGCAAGAAATGAACAGAAAGCGACGTGGCAGCGCTGCGATATGTGTCTGTTCAGCTCGAAATTGCCTTGGGCATTCGGGTCGGCCAACATGCAGGCAGGTCCCCTCCCTTACAGCAAGCATTGCTTGGGCTGCTCTCATCTCGTGGGCAGAGCCTGCCAGGAGCCAGAGACGGGGCAAGGAGAGAGAAGCATGTGCCAAGAGAAGTCACCAGCAGAAGTGCCCGGAGGTGCCGTGTAGAGGTGTTTAAACAGTCTGGTACCTGCCACAGTAGACTCCAGGAGGACTCAAAGCAAGTAACAAGTCATGGAAAACACTCTAAACATTTGCATTCCAAGCTTGTTGAAGCCACCTTCTAAGACTTCTACAGGATATTTTCTCCAGCGTGAAAAATGCCTTGTGGGAAAAGCCTCCAACTTGCCTGCGAGGTGAGGGTCAGCAGGTGGAAGCTGCAGTCAGTCTTGCAGCGCTGGCAGAGGGAGCGAGGAACGGCCGTGGGCTCTCACAGATTTGCCGTCGCTGGAAGCCTTCAAATCCAGACCAGATGGATGCCTTCCTGGAAGATGCTCCTTCCCTGGCTGCAAGCTACTGACCTCAGCACAGAGATATAACAGATCGATACGTGGGCTAAATGGCTACTGGCCACTCCTAGTCTCAGCCTTTGAGACCAAAATACCAAAGATCAGCACAGCTCTGCCAAACACATCTGAAGACACGGAGAAGGCGATGTGTCTCCCCTACAGTGTTTCAGATCACAGCTACAAATTCAGCTCCACCCATTTATGTCCTACTCGACCAAAGTAAAACCAACATGTGAAGTACGCCCCTCGTGGGGAGTCATTTCCTTACATTCGGTGTGGAAAAGGCTTCCTGGTATTTAGGAAAAATGACAGACTTGGGAATTAACATCTCTAAAGGCTGAAAATGCTCACAACATTGATCAGAGCTGCACGAACCTAACGGTATTAACAAAATTCATGCAAAAACAACGACTACATCTTCTCAGGCCCATCATTCACATCCAGAGACATGTCGTGCCGACTCCGACAGGTCAGCAGAAAGCTGAGCCCGTTCCCAAAGGAATGGCACTGGAGGTCCTGGGTTCACTGAGAACACAGTCAGGGGTGATCAGAGGTGGGTGACCCTCAGCACTCGCTTCTTTTTGTCCCCAGCCATAATCCCAAGAGGAAACTAGGGAGAAATCCTTGCACTTGCCTCTCTCGCTCCCTCCCAGCTCTCTCCCAATTTGAAGGCTCCCGGATGTTAAGAAATGCTGGCGAAGCGCCCACGGTGTCAGCTCGGGCGGCATCAGCCGGGCTGCAGTCAGGAAGGAGTGACACCATTATTCTTTCACCGCTCCTCCTCTGTTTAAAAAAGTTGTCAGCTCTTCGCAGATAAATTTAATTGGCCCTGCGGTCTGTGTCCTTCGGTATCTGGGGACCTCGCTGCTGTTATGTGCGGTGGTGTCCTGGGAGAATTGAAACAGGCCAACGATAAGGCACTCAACGATCTCACTGTCAACAATACACGGAGTCCCCGCTGTAGGAGCTATTAGTCGCCTCTGATCTAAACCTCCAATTAAAGTGGTGATTAGGCCCAGTGAGGCATTCTCCATCCATGAATTATTCATCTCCCTCCACAGTAACAGCACCGGGGGGATTAGAATGAGAGCTGGTGAAAACAGAGGCATTTTTAAGCAGGGTTTTAACCATATACAAGCAAACATTTATCTTTCAAATCTTTCATCTTCTCTTCTTCTGGAAATTAAAGCTTCCCCTCGCCAGCTTGGCCCTTCACACCCGAGCTGTGGGTGGAGAGCGGTGCCACACTGCCGGAGACAGCACCGAGGACTCAACCCTTCTGCAGGCGCACCGACCAGGTGGAAGCCCCAGGACCTCTCCTCAGCAGCTCACAAAGCAGTGGAGAAGGATGCGCGACGCTTCCACTCCAGGAGAAAGCCCCTGGCAAGTATGAGGATCCCTGGACTTGCCCGTGCTGGTAACTCTTTTTTTTTTTACCCCAAGTAAAGCTAGTAACGGTTTTGGCCAGCATGCAGGTCTGCAGTCACCGCTAGCATTTGTGCCTGTACCACCAGGACCACGAGAGGTCTTTTCTCGGGATGCTTCAGGCCGTGTTCCCATCCCATCGCTGCATTTGACTCTCAGTCGACTCCCTCGTGCTGGATGCTCCGTGGTAACCGTTGACCTCGCAGCCCAGCCTCTCACAGGGTACTACATCAAAACCTCTTTCACAGCTACAGTAAATTATGCCGCAGCTTCACCCATCTGCTTCCCAACTGACACTTCCTGAAATAAATTAATCAAGTCTATTCAATTATAGCCTCCTCTCTCTAAGGTCTCTCTCTGATCTGCACATTTGAGATGCTTCTCTCCCCTCTCGGGGCTGCAGCAAACCCCTGGATGGTGATTGGAGTGAAGGTCAGTCAGTCTTTATCCCCAGCCCCTCTGCTTGCAGCTGCAGATGTTTTCAGCTTCCCTGCAGACCCCGGTACCCTTGGGGACCCTGCCCCAGCTCTGGCCAGGAGCACAGCCACCCAGCTCGGGAGTAGGAGCTGCTCTTCTGGGTGCCAACATCTGTCTTGCCCATGTTGCTTTCAGTCTCATTTCCTTTCTCTTTTTGCTCCTGGGAAATTTCTAGAGCCTCAACTCATTCCAAGATGAATGAAAAGCAAATATAACCAGACACAGGGACGTTCAAACGATCTCTGCACCGTCACCCTGCGGCGTGGGGCTCACAGACACCTTCAGCTCATGCAGGTGGGAATCTCATTTCCCCACCCGCTCCCTTCTCCCGCCTGCAGGGATGGGGCTGCTGGAGGAGGGGAATCCTGGCTGAGCCGCAGGAATCACAGTTTTTCTGCAAAAGTAAATTAGAGTTTGCATTTCGTGCTGCCCCTGAGCTGTGCTCAGGCCAAGGAGCCAGTGCGAGGGGCCTGTCAATTCTCCTCTCCCCGTGCCATCCCTGCAGGGACACGGATTCTGCATCGCCTGGGACCACGGTGCCGTGGGAAGTCACGACGCCAGGGACAGCCCCCCTGGGTAACACTGGTCCCCGAAGGCACCAGAGACCGAGACGATGCATACGGTGGTCGCACAGACAGCACGCGGGGAGGAGAAGGTGGCAGTGGTGGGCTGGGTTGCTCGGCAGACAGATGGCCACGTTCTTAACCAAAGGGAGGGCGGGGGCATTTGATATTTTTGATGTTTCAGATCAATTTATTTCTAGGTTACATAAAGTACGGATATCGAGAGGAGTCACAAAGTGTAGCTAAGAGAAGTGGGGGAAGACAAGGAGAGAACAGAACTGGAGCGAACAACGAGGTGTGACAATTTCCAATTCCCAGAGAGTCAAGAAACTTGCACTAAAATAAGAATGAGCAGACATCCTATTTTAAGCGCTCAGTACCGATCGGTTGGACATGATCTGCTGCGTGGGGAATCCTGGGTCAGCTCCACACACAAACACAATTTCACAGAGCAGAGGCTGAAGGTGCAGTCCCATCACAGTGCTTGAACTAAGACTTTGGACCTCATAAAGCACGAATATGGACTCTGCCTCCAGGACAGAACCAGTCCGGGCTGCTCAGGTCAGCGTGCAGCGCCGTGAGCTTTGCCAATCCACTGGAGCCAGTTATCCCAAGGAAATTCACACACCCACGCCCTTCCTGGCTTCCAATTCCCCTACCAGCATCAATATTCCTACCGTAGCCCGCTCCTCAATCGTGACAAATGGTGATTAAACGTCTACTCTCAGCGATGAGAAAACCCAAGAACAGTTCATGGCCAAACACCTCGCACCCTCTAGAGACTCCTACCTGGGACACGGACTCCATGCAAAGGGTTAGAAAGCGCCATCCCAATCTCAGTCATCCCATACCTCTCCAACAACGTGTGCCCAGTGATGCTCTTCCACTTCTCCAGGATAGGCACAGGCAGGGCTGCTGAGCCTGACACCATTAACCTGCACAAGGAAATCCCAGATAAAAAAGGATCCATCTCTTCAGGGAAGTTGCAGCCTAACACGGGCTTACATGAAGCCTGCTCCTACATAAAACTTTAAGCTAGAAGTCCCAAAAGCCTTTTAACTGCTACCAAGGATGTTCCTCACATATAGAAGATTCTCTGCTAGGAGTTTTAAGCTGTGATGGGACAACTTCCTAAAAGAGATCCTGCAGTACAAGCTTGGCTGGCAGGACGAAGTCCTCAGTCTTGTGTCATGCCCGGTGACACATATAATGAGCATGCAGACCCCTTCTGGCTTTCCCATGCAAGAACGCCTTATAATTAAATAATGTCGCCCTGGTTCTCGTTAAAGAGTCACTAAAGCACGCCAACTGGCTGTGCAAAGAGGTGATGCTGAAAAGAAACCTCGGCAGATCCACTGTAGAGGGGGGACAGCCACTGACAGCCCCCAGCCAGAGGAACATTGCTCACTTACCTGATGTTCTGCTGGCAAAAGGCACGCACAAAAGCCTGGACTTGAGGCTGAGAGAAATGCTTGTCGTAATACTCGATCATCTTGGCATAGATCGTGGGCACTGCCATGAAGACACTGATGCGGGGAGCTTGGGAGCTTAGGAACTTCTTCCAAACCTGGAAAGGAAGGGGACGCACAAGTATAAAAATACACCTCGGTGTAAAGCGCAGAGGGAAGCGATTGTCAGTGCAGTCAGCACTAAATCCTCAGCATCTCCAGCAGGTTCACAAGTGAGGGGTCTGCAAACGCTTCGCGAGGCAGCGAGCCCCACCACTGCTCCTTTGTGTGGTGCAAGGGGAAACTGAGGTGCAAGGGTGCAACAGGCTGGTCCAAAGCAAAACCACCCTGGACTGGTGACAAACGGTCAAACTGCTGCTGCTAGCGAAGTCTTTTGTAAAGGACAAACAACTGGAAGCCTGTTGTGGGCACCTCAGAACAACAGCTCCCAACCTCATCACATCCTTATTGCCCAAAGCACGATATTCTGCTCTCATCCCCCCGGTGGATCACCCGCCTGCTTTCACTCTCAGTGAGCCCAAGGTCATGGAAACGACACTTTTTAACACCCTCCCATCACAGCCAAGACTTTGCTCACGAAGACGTAAGCTTCACCTCGCCACTCTTCCCCCCAGGTAAGCTCTTCCCAAGACAAGAACGATCCAAAGCCATCAATAAATAAAAGGCTCTAGCGATGGCCGCCCCTTCCCTTTCACTCCGGTCCCTGCCCTGTTGCTGACAAATGTATTTCCTAACAGCTCCTGACAACGCGCACTGCCTCTCCCCTCCCTGCCCGCGCACGCTCAGCTGCACACAGGTGCGTGCGGCTCCGAAAAAAAGGAGGAATTGATTGAAGGTGAACAAGTGATTCTCCTTCATGCTGTCACTCTGCCCCCTTCCCCTCCATCCCGCTCGCTCAGGCTCCATTTCATTACTTTCTACTTCGCTGCGCTGGTGCCACCTCCCCCCCCAGCATCTCTCACTCCACTGCTTCAGAACAATCAGCTCCTAAAAAAAAAAAAAAACCCTCAACCAAAAAAAACTCACTGCCACCACGTTGTTATTCTTAATACAGCTGGACACATCCACAAAGGCACCATCCTACCCAACAGAAGGGATTTCATGCTTCCTCCCAGCCCAGGGATGACTTTCCATAGGGTGAGACAAGGGCAGAAGGTGGAAACCCCCTCCCTGCCCCGAGACCTTGGGAGCTGGGACACAAGTGCTGCAAGATCCCCTGGGCTTCAGGGGACACAGAGGAGGGATGTGACTTGCCCAGACCGATGGGTGACGTGCCCAGAGAGGGAACGTCGTGCTCCCTTGCAGAAACCCCACCTGCCAGCACGATTCCCTAAACCAAGGCGGAACAGGCAAAATTGCATTTAGAAGGATCTAACCTCTGCCATGCTCTTCCCAGCCTTTTTCCCCAAAGGTCTTTTTGTCTTCAGCAGCCCAATATCTGCCTCATTAGAGGCAGCAGGATGGACAACGACCTTTCCAAAAGCCAGGGGCTGAACTCACGGACCTCCTCAGCCTGGTGCTCCGGAAAGCCACTGCCTGATGGCAAGCTGGGATCAGGACCGTGCTGAAAAAACTGAAGGGGCACAGATGCTTGTGGCTGTTCCATTCTTGCTGTGTGATTTTTTTATTTTTTTTTTTTGCTTCCACAAGTCCAGAGCAGCTGTGGGAAGTGCAGGCAAACTTCCAGTTTGGCCACACAGCACATGGAGCTGGATTTGGGGGAAAAAAAACCAAATACAAACACAAAACTATCACTCCAAAACAGATCTCTCTTGTGCCCCAGTCCCCTTGTCCTCACATGCCTGCTCAATTCCTGCCCTAGATAAAATCCTCCCTACTGTTGCTCCAGCCATGGAGCAGCTTTTTCTGTGTCAGTCCGACTCGCCCCAGCAACAGCGTCTTCTCCCGAAGATAAGCAGCTGCCTTTGGATTTGTGCCACCAGCTGCTGGGACGATCTGCCGAGGGCCAAACATCTCCACCTGCTCCGCTGCTCCCGCTCAGCCAAGTCTGGATCCTCCCCCTGCGTTTTAACGGTCCTAAGCACCAAGCCGCGGTACAAAGCTGGCAGCCCCGAGCCCTCCGCGTACCCCGAGCCGTCTGGAGGGCTTGTCACTGCCCAGCCAGCTGGAACAGCTATTTCTGGTTTATAACTGTAACTTCACGGTTTGAGAGAAGGATCTGGGAAAGTCTCATTACCTGGGAATAATCAATCAATGCTGGGGCTTGGACGGGCTCGTAGCAAGAGGCGAGCTCTGCCCTGCATCCTCCAACACCGTCAGGCTTCGAGCGGCACAATCAATCTCCCCCCTCTGTTATCCCACGTGTCACCGTCACCACAGCAATCGCTTGCGTGCCGGGTACTGGCAGCCCATCATTTCATTTTATTTCGCTCGCCCGATACCTCAGGACTCCGAGGGCTTTGGAAAAGCCCTGGATTCTGGGAGGTAAATATGGCACCGCACGCCGGGGCTGCCCAACTTTGCACAGGGGAAGAAGCAGCGTCCCGATGGAACACATTCAGGAGACGGACCAAAACTCTTTTAAAGATAAATGAAGGCTAGAAACAAAAAGTTTTTAACTACAAGACAGCTTCCTATGAGCAGTAATGGCAGTGAAAGCCCAGCGTAGGGCTGCCTGAGCCAGCAAAGAAGTGGGAGACCTCCTGTTCCCAAGAGCCTGCC